TGGAACAACCCGAAAACACATAAGCAGGTCACGTACTGGAACCTTATTGCACCGCACCAATCAAGGTAACGATGTGAAGTGACTTCATTATACTGTAAGCCTGAAGTTTCATATAAAAGTCCTTGTTACTTTTTCAAGCATATGTCTGAAAAAAACAATTAACCTCGGTAAACTAACGATATTGGTAGTACGATGACAGATAAGTGATTTTTCGTATGAGCAACGAGCCTATATGATGCAAATCCGCAGCTTATAATTTGAACCACTGGGATGAATAAAGGTGTTTTAGTAAACTCGAATTCCTAGACATGAAACCCAGAACTTCACTTTAATCGATGAAGAGTCTCACATACTTGGGTAAACTAACAAAAGTTGTAATGTTGTTTGGTTACTTAGAGCATGTAGATTACCAAAGTAGGTGATCTGTGTTGAATGAGTGGGGACCTACTCGAGTTAAACCAACCAGCTACCGTCGAAGTCCCACCTCATGGTTAGTACCTAACGTCGATTACCCTTTTGGTGTATTCAGATACTATTGCCGCTTCAATGACATTACAACACAAATGACGTCACTATAAACATATATTAGCAAGAGTGGATACAAGAAACAGTGTGGCTGCTACCTCACGGACGAGTCCATTGCGTGCAGTTAAAAAATATGCGTTGGTTGTCATTCGCCTTGACGAGCATAGGTGAACTGCTCTATATTCAATGACCCGCCTGCCGGAATGATTTGGCTAGAGCCCAGTGATATTTCACCGGCCTTACAGGCATACTATCCCTAGTTTTCAAATTAGAAAGAATATGGCTGATCTCGACGAACGCATAGAACATTGTCGGAGATCCGATGTCAGATGTTATTTCGTTTACTACTATACTTTTCCAGAACGTAACAGGACTCTAGTTTTTTAAATTAATCCCAAACACATATGAAAAGCTATTTTTTATCTCAAAACTTAGTGAAATTTTTTTCATTTTTCGGTACATGGCATTTCAAATTCCTTGGAAGTTCATTGACCAGGTGCTGCCAGAACAGTTTTTCCATAGTTACGTCACAGACAAGCATTGATTCCCATCGAGCCATACAGTAGCAGTAGGGTAATAATTTAGTTTTATATGGAAGAACATGAATAAGTCATATGACGTCATAAGGTTGCCAAACTTCTCATCAACCAACGATTCCCCTATAAGGTTCTATGTTTTTATTTTCTTTTACGCTATCGGCTGCTTTTCACCATTTTTTCCACTTTTGTGCTAGAAATGGACTAATAGTGAAGGTACTGGCTCTCCCATGGGTTGTATATATATATATATATATATATATATATATATATATATATATATATAATAACTCCCACTAAGCTGTAAATATAATCTTATCTTGTTAGATATATAAGCCAACAATTCATTATATTCCGGGAAACAAATCAGACTCATGTCCGAAAGGTACGCTCATGCGTAGCCTTCACCGGGGAATTAAACAAATTTCCAAGAGTTCCTACTTTGGTAAGGTTTCAGGATTTAGGTTGCCGATATTCTTACAAAGATAGCCAGTAGCAGAACTAAGTACTGCTGTATGCCGATTAAGACAACTTATGTACAATGGCTTCTTTATAATACGAGGAGTCACAAAGTGAAGATCAGTCAAGGAAACAAGAGTTGTGTGCATAAACATACATTTGCCCACTTTCATATATATATATTCATTGCATTGCCTGACTAACTATTTGTTTACCCGGCTAGCAAACTCTTGGCGATTTCGTGGAGTTAGTTTCCTTTACTAATTAGGCGAAAACGAGTGTAGTGTTTGCACAAAACGTGATTAGGTATCCAATGTCTGCATGCTCCATTGAAAGTTTATATTCATATTGCTGTAAATGGTTTACAGTAGAATGTAATATATTTAACATGTATCACAGTTCTTTTTTGCGTAACAAGGGGATGGAACGAATAGCGGTGAAACTACGTCGGAAAATGCACACACACGCATTACATACATGTTGTAAAATGAGTGTCTCATGAACAACTTTCGATCGCTTACTCCTATCTATCGTTCGATGAACAAACGTATCAGAAACAAGAGGCTAGTATATATGCTTTATCTATGTGAATCATCATTGATATAGGTAGTAAACTTCTGAGTGCTACTAACTTTTTAGGTGAATAGAGGCTATTCCAGACTCATTACAGGAACACATATTCAGAAATGAGGATGAAGAAAGGGGTGTTATTTAGAGTAGCAAAAAACTAAGAGAGATAAATAGATAAAGACTCTTATCCTTGACGAAAGATCACAGATAAAAATCCAGAGTCAATGCTGTTCCCAATAATTAAACCGAATGGCATCAAAAATTCATTCTTACCCATATATACTGAAATGAAGCACAGCAAAATCAGCTTAATGATAGTGAAAAGTAACTGCTGTGTGATTTGCAAGTGGTTTAGTAGCGCCGAATTTCACTAAGTAGTTGAATACAACAAGTTCAGTGTTGAAGTATTTGGTAACCGGTCTGAACAACTGATTGCGTAAATGCCAACCTCGTAATCGTTACACATCAATACTAACCAACACTTATGTTTCTCAGCCACACAGCAACACAAGACCGCACTGTACACTCTCCCTGCCGTAATGGCATGTAAACAAGTTGATAGCCATTTAAATTAATTTATGTAAAACCGAAGAAAAATGACAATTCCAACGTCTTGTTATAAAGAAGCACAGTCATGATCAGTAAGAACAACGCATTCTGACGATATGGCTTCTTCGTTGTCACGAATTTAACTGACCACCTGTGTACTTATGTTTCCCGATGTTCCAAAGCATGAACGGATAAATTTACCATCCTGAGGTCCATTAAAAGGATGCAGATCTGTAAAGTCTAACATGTTATCCAATGTACGGATAACCAAGTCGATTATGTAGTTCCTTGTCTACCAATTTCTATATCGAAATAAATCTATGATGTTTATAGAGACAAAGAAATAGAACTTTGACATGTGTACGCGACATATGACTACACCGCAAGTGTGGACATTGAAACGCTCACAAGCACATCGCGAATATCAAGTATTAACAACATACACTTTACCTTCGTCATAGCAGTGGATGTACTCTCCTGCCATCGCTTCGTGTCTCATTCTCCTAACTCGTTTGTAATTTCTAGCTGCAATTTTAGCCACAAAAGCTATAGAGAAGAGAATCATCTCTTCTGAGACATTTGTTATGTGTTTATGAGCACTTTCCACACGATCGTTTGCTTGGTTGTTCAGGCTTGGTACATGCCGTTGACAACAGCCAGCTCATAATGACTTCCGGTCAATCCATTGGTCTCTTCTGTAATCATAGGCTCGTGTAATGTGGATTCTCAAGCACCCGTACGTTTGAGCAAATGTGAATTTAATGCATTATGTAAAGTGGAGCTTGCATGTCCGATAGCCTGGTTTATACAAGATGTTCCAAGCATTTGCGAACATCGGCATTTCGCGACTACAGAAAATAATCTATAAAGTTAACTCTCACCTTCCTGAAAAATACTATTAGAACATGAAACGGACACAGTATTATGTTGGCATGACTGTGCGAAGACTGCACTTAGGAAATTTCAGTCGCTGCCGAATCCACAATAAAAGTGCGCGTACCATAAGTACCATACATTATGTCTTTGAAGTATCTTAGTAGGCTTAGGAAGTCTTTGCGTCGTTCTTGCCTGCAAAGGACATGCATAACGTGTGCCCTTGCTAAATACTATCAGCAACGACTAGCTATAACTGTGAAAGACTTCAAGATAAAGTTGCTATTATTCGTTACTTGGCCAACTTTGTTGGTCTGATAAATCGAATCAATACATAACACCTCTAGGTAGATAGCCATTTTTTACCTGCGACTGAAACAAATAAGAGATATGTTCCGATTTTATTCGAATAACATTGCTTCGGCGTTTGGCTGGACGCACTGTAAATTCCCGTTGCTATGTTTAATGTCTAAATCCACGTCATTAGAATGTGAGTTTAACAACCTGGATACAACTGTGACCATATTTTGGCAATATCTTCCTCGGTAAGCTACTTGTGGGTCCTCCGAGTAACCAGATGCCCAATGATACGCGCTGGCGTATTACACAAAAAACGGTCTTAAATATAATCATTTACTCTATAATAACTGTCGTCTCGAAGGATCTACAAAAATATATCTTTTTGTGCAAGGATGGTTGTACACAATTTTGATGGAAGTGACATTTATCTCACCACTATGAAGACTAGAAAGATTAAAATTATTGTACATACTAGGAATTCCCGGAACAGTGGTTTAATTTATTTATTCTGATCTGGACATCTCAGATGATTTATCAGGCGAGTAGAAAAGCCAAGAACGAATAAAATACCTGTGGCATACAGGTTTCAACACCGAGTCATCGATTCTTGGGACCTCTTACCCGGATCAGTGATGTCCGCACCTTTAAACGACTCATTCAAGGGAAGACAAGACACTCACAGAAGAATACTAGAAGGAATAACATAGTCCATAGGCCTTCTGTCCTTACTACACAAATCTGAATCTGAATTTGATTTAAGTCAGACAGAACTAGATAAGCACAAACAAACGTATTCCACTTGGAATTTGTGATAAACGAGTAGTCAAGTGCAAAGGAATCATTACTCTGTACAAATGCCGCACGAACCGAAAATCCAGATTGACAGTGGTAATATTTAGGCCTAAAGGATAAATTCATTTGGTATGAAGTATAAATACCGGGGTCAAATAATCTACGTCTGGAGTTTCGTTTCTCTCACCGAGTACTGACCCGATCTCCCTATTTTGGGGAAAGTTTTATCCGTCGCGACATCATAATATCGCTGGAGATTCTTCCGATATCATCCACCATAACGATGGCATCACTTTGGTTACTTGAAAGATGGAGGCTATCAGAAATAGTATGGCTGAACTCAACATTTGTAATCGTCTTGATTTGACCACTCATGCAAAACCTTACAAATTGTCGAGGTGACGCACCAATCGTTTTACGAAACCTTGACCTTCAAGTGCTCACTAACCTCTGTCAGTGGATAATGCCATTAGGTCGTTGCCGCAGTCATTGAGGTGATCATAAAAATTGCCCGTGTCCGCTTTGACTGTTTTTTTTTTCGATGACTTCAATGCTTAGGGAAATTATTATTTTGTCAAAGTTATTTTGCACTTTACGTGGCGACTTCACACTTTGTGAACTTCTCAAAGCAAATTTGCCTCCCCATGCAACTATAGTAGGCGAAATAAAGGGGAGCATGGTGTTAATTTTAGGGAAAGTTTGACAATTTGAGGAAGATGAAGGTGTTCATTTGGGAGCATTTCCCATGACATGGGAAATCTTGAAAAGTCATACCATTCATTCCGGGCCATGAAGGTGATAATTTCACGCATTGTCACACATGTTCACACCGATTTTCCGTAAGGAGAGCAGGAACATAGATTGGTGCACCAACCTTTGTTCTTACCCTCTTTAAGATAATAAGGGGAACTATGTGTATGAAATTTCCCCAAGGAATTGCCTCTGTATTTCCCTAATGTTTGCTTGGGTTACTAATAATGACTGAGAACAATTGTACTCCGCTGAAGCACACTTTACTAGATAACTATTACTTCGTGATAACAACTTATTAAAAATATGGATCATTTCTTTGCTGTTGTCTTATTTCCAAATTCTGAGTTATTGCGTGTTCCAAGGAATCTGAAATTATCTTTACAATTTTCAGGAAATCTTCTGGATATGAGTTGCCGCTATATCCCTTCATTAATTCGGAATGCGCCTCGCTTAAAGACCCGAGGGATCGAAATTTTGCGTGACCCACGGACAAATAAGGTTAGACTTCACCATATTGAGTTTTCCCTCAGGGTTCTTCGTATACTCTCCATGAACGCCAACTTCTGGGGATTCATGGACTGTTGCCACCGAATCCTCAAAATCAAGATGTTGAGGAACAACGAGTTATATCAAACCTTTATCAGCTTGATGATAATCTTAGCCGTTACATGATGCTAATGTCCCTCCAAGATCTTAACGAAAAGCTGTTTTATCGGGTAATAATAATCTAATAAGATTATTTCGCAGACTATCAGAACACATTTAGAGTATTGCTTACCACTTATTTACACACCTACTGTTGGCTTAGCATGTTTGAATTTCGGTTTTGTTTTCAGAAGGCCTCGGTAAGTTGCTGTATTTACCATATTTCTAGAGGTATTTATATCACAATTCAAGATAGAGGGCATATTTTTACTTTACTAAAAAATTGGCCTGCTGATACAATTAAGGTAAATGCAAAATCTGAACTGAATACAGGTTAATTAAAGACTGTAGTCATGACTGATGGCGAACGTATATTGGGTTTCGGAGATATGGGCGCTAATGGAATGGCTATTCCTCTAAGCAAGGCTGTTCTGTATACTGCCTTAGGAGGCTTACAACCTTATCATTGCCTGCCTGTGATGTTGGATGTTGGTACGAACAATGAAAAGCTTCTGGAGGTATATATTCATCTTGTTTTTTTCTAAAAAAAGTTGAGCTATTTGTTCTAGTTGTCTGTTAATTTTTCTTATTTGACCTACTTACTAATGGTTTTAATAAATCATGCCTATTTTTGGAATTTAAAAGACTACAAAGTCATCCAAAAAAACGTTTTTATTTATATTCATGTAAGTGAATTATACTTGGATTTTTTAAAACCACTAACAGAATAAATTGTCTCCCATCAGTTGGCGTAAAGAGTACATTTTACGGAACTTTGTCCCGAAGGACTACCCAAGTCTAATTTTTTACAGCTAGCAAATCCAAAATTAAAGTAGACATAGTAAAATATATTTATTATTTACTGATACTGATACAAAGTGCCACCAAAATATATTTGGGCCACATAATAAGGAAACGAGGTTGTAAAGAAGTGGAGAAAGGAAGGTGAGTATAGTATAACAAACTAAATGAATAAATATGTATATAAGTAAAAAGTAGTGGAAGAAGCAGTTCAGTTAGAAAAACACAACCCGACAGAATTCTTTCAGTTAAGTTGCTCTCACTTATATGAAAAAATACAAGTAATTTACAGCAGGACCTCCACTGGGTTCTATTCTGAGCTATCTCTGATCATTTCTGGAGTCACTGTGTCTCACTATCCCTCGAACCTCAACCAGCAAACATTGCTGGGCTGGCAGACACCAATCCTATACAGCTGCCTACATATCCCTCACCGTGTCGTAAACTGATCGCCTTATCCCGTCAGTCTCGGTGTTGGCACATAATCCACGGTATGGGATTCGCCGGGACAACATTCGTAGTCCATGTCTAAGCCACCGAAGTCGGTGTTTTTAGGTTATGACCGAGTAAATTATCTTCACTGCACCCGGACGCACATTGCTGAACTTCCGCATTTCTAATATGGTCTTTCCACTGAATGTCAGCAATCTTTCGCAGACAATCACAAACAAACACCGATAGCCGCTTAACATCCTCGACTCGTAAAGACCAAATTTCAAAAGTATAAAGCCAAACTACTGTCGCCGACGCGTTGTAAATCTGACATTTTACAGCCAGAATATCATGGAAAAGGCGCCAAAGATGGACTAGTTTGATATAGGCCGCTCTGATTTTTGATATACATAGATTGACTTCATCACTAATGCCACAAACTACGCTCTATTCATTAAGACATAAAATCCACGCATAAAATGAAAGTGACCCGCAGTCTAGTGACTTGCTTTTTTAATTACACTGCTACTATCATCATCACCATGCATTTTATTCAGTGGTCCTTATGCTCAAGCTAAATTATGATCGATGCAAAACTATCATATACAAAGTTAACCTTCATGCTACACCATTTCCATTAACACTTCCTAATTTATATTGTGAGCTTCCTACCCTGTATCATACAAATTTCCCAAGAATATAAATGTTTGATGTTCACTTAATTACTAACGTTTCCATTTTTGTCAGGATGAGTTTTATGTTGGTCTTCGTCGGAAACGGGCCACCGGAGAAGAGTATATTTCTTTCATGGATGAAGTTGTGGAGTCATTGTCTGCGCAGTATGTTGTAATATTGTTACAATTAACAACCATATCACATCTAGTTATGGACCAAATGTTTGTCTGCATTTTGCAGACTTCAAGAATTCAAATGCTTTTCAACTTTTAGAGAGATATCGTTCGAACTACATAACATTCAATGATGACATACAAGGTTAATAAAGTGCTCGTTTTATTTTTATCCATTATTGGAATGCCATTACGTATTCATTGGTTTACAAAACTGAAATGTTCATGATAGGTATTGGAAATTAAGTTTTGTGATCGTTGTCTAATATGTTTGTACGCTAAGCCAGTATTTCACAACTCTAACCTCAATGCTGTGAACGATACTGATGCTGTCCTTTTCTTTACCACGCTATTATATATTTGAACACAAATATTAGTACAAGATGGTACCAGATATATATGCTAACTAAAGTAAGAAGTCTAATAGTCGTATAACAGCTTTGTTAGCCAAAATCAGTAGAATTCAATGTACATTTGAGATAATTAGTTATATATCGATTACAGTGATTATAGTTATCGAATTGAGTAACTATCAATGAACAAATATAGTGAAAAATTCGCTGAAGGTCCACGAAGTAGCTTCTCACTGAATAAATTAATTTAGCATGTGTTCATCTTAATTCGACATTAATTTTTCGCCCAAGTTTTATTTGGGGATTCCTCATCCCGAACATAGTTTTAATGTACTACGTGATTCACTGGATCAGTCTAGAACTTGTTGCTTCAACTCACTATTTTCGAACAGGCTTTAAGCCACAAGCATTCTCTGAGGGCTAGTGACTCAACTAATGATACCTGATTCTTAGTAGGTGAGACAGATTTAGAAACCGTGATTTGGTAATTAAAAGTTGGTTACTTAAATTAACGATTCACAACACAATGGTGTGTTATTTTACATCACAAACTACTTGACAAAACTGCAGATATTTGGTATAAAGAGTAAACATATCAAAGAAAAGCTCAAAACAGCTTTTACATGCTTTCATGTATATAAAAAAATAACTATCATCTTGCATGCCTTAGATAGTACTTGAAAAGCTTACCAACAACAAATAATCTACTGTTCCTCTGCTTAACTCACTGTAAGACCCAAATGCACTGGGTTGGGTTTCGTGTTTATTTATTAGTCGAGACTAATAAATCCGTGACAGAGATAAACAAAAGTATTTGACACTGGTTTTCAACCATTCAGCACCCAGTGTCCGACTGAGATATATATTCGCTCTTCTATATTTATAATTTATCCACTGGATGAAAATAAAATCAAATGGACTTTTTGTAGCTGTGCGTACTATTAAAATTTTTGTGAGAATATACTTAAAATTGTAATTTCTTACACATTAATTTTTCCTCGTGAATTGTATCAAATTGATTGCCATTATTCAGTTTTCGTCATAAAGATTTTGTAATTCAAGTTTTTTAGTAGAATAAATGATTTAGCTATAACTGAGCAGTTTAAAAATTGAACTTTAATTGCCTTACCTAATAGCTAAATGTTATTTACCCAAAACGTTTTACTCTTTATATTTTGGTCAGGAACTCACAATAGCAGGTGTTTTCAACTGTTTTATTAAAGATAAAAATCTAATGATTTGACTAGAACTATATTGTAAACATTTTTAATTGACAGATATTGACGTGTGGAATGGACTTAAAAATTGACTTTTTAAACGTATTCATTCTATTTCTATTCATCATATCAGGTTCTGCTGTGGTTATTGTATCAGGTCTAATGACTGCATCCAGAGTGACACAAAAGAAAATATCTCAGAACAGTTATCTCTTTTATGGTGGTGGGGGAGTAAGTTATGCCTTTATTTCATTCATTTGAATATGTCCAGTTTATGGTTTTGTAGTAAAAACAATATATTAATTAATCTTAATCCACCTAATAATTACACGTTCATAACAAAATCTTGTAAATATAGTGAAATAATATCCATTATTGCTTTTAGCGTGCACTCTGGTTAGCTTTTTTCATTACGCCAGTTGAAATCACTGTATAATATGTAGCTTCTAATGACACTGAAAATCAACAGAAGGATTAATAGATTTCCCTACGTAAGAACATTCAGTTGTTAAGGACTAAGTTTAACTGGATTAAAAGTTGACAGTCTTCAGTTATGTTTTGTATGCATTGGTATGAAGATGAAGTGATTCGCGAAACGAATCTTTTTCGTTTCGTGAATTACGTATCGGTCTTTTCAGTATTCGTTGTGTGAAATATAAAGAGCACAGAACAATATTATGTTTTGTTCCCATCGTCCCTGTACAACACTGAGTCATAATTGTAATCCTTCAACCATAACGGTTATGTTACAGACCTCGACAAAAACATCGTCTTACATGATTCAGCCCACTAGTCACGGACCTATATGTACTAATACAATGCTCTAATTGGACACCTGTAGCTTTTTCCTAAGTTCTTGGTTAGGTGGTCACCAACTGTGTATAACCCACTTCGTTCACTTTATTCAATTAAGATTAATAATCTCACTAAATAATTTGTTTTTGTTTATTTATCTAGGCTTCTATCGGTATAGCACGTTTGTTAGTACAAGCAATTATGGAGGAGGGTTTCTCTGAAGATGAAGCTAAATCACGTATTTTTATAATGGATTCTAAAGGTTTAATTGTCACAGTATGTAAATACTTATTTAACTGTACTTATCATTAATTAATACACCATCTTGTATTAGCTATTTTTGAGCAGTAAAAATAATAGTCTGCTTTCACGTTATCACTCTAATTATATCGATTTCGCCTACATATCTGTATCTACACTAACATTTCTGAACACATCATCAAGTCTAGATAAATAGAGAAATAGGTCAGTATGCACAGGTATTTGGATAGGTAGTTTGTGAATTTTTTTATCAAGTTCAACTGCAGTTCTTCAAACTAATAATTGTACGCCTATTAATAACCACTAGCTTCAAGATTCGATCCCCGAGTTTTTAATGAGCTGTGATTGATGGTGTTTAACTCCAATGTCGTCAACCAGCATCGCTAAAAGAATAAATTTAAAAATATAGACGTTTAGATTCTAATTCAGTCTCTTGAAGGCGTTTTTTAGGTCACAAAACCTGAAGCTCCTAGGAGCATATTCATGAGGAGTACCGAACTAATATTTGTGAAGCAAAGGTAACAAACATTGTCAGGTGGATGACATTCACTTCATTTCATCTTCCCAAAATCTATATAGACACCAATTTTATCGATGAAATGTGATACCACAAATATAGTTTGCATACAATAATTCGAAAGTAATTTTTACTACAAACTGACGTAATTGGAAGATTTGTGGGAGGTAAAAAAACTCTAAGACGCACACAGGATGACCTCACACATGTTTGAACACACGATCTGTAAGTATCCTGGTAAGTAAAGGCGGCCTGCTTGAATATGTGGGCTACATGTACCTGCCATCCGGATATTTCAACAAGCTATATGCTTTCTTGTTCGTCTTAACACATCATTATGCCAATTGATCGCATAACCTATTCAGGTACGTTTGTAAAAAGTTCACGACATTTCGCTGTGCAAGTTACAAAAGAGTCTAATCGGAGACATCGTGGTCGCTGGCAATGTGCATCGAAAAGAATATACATTAATCAGATGTCGATTCCTGAACTGCTAACATCTAACTGGCGACCATTCAATATTTATCGCAAGGGTCGATCAAGAAATAAGGAAACTTGTTAGAATGCTTTGTGCTGAGAATTCTATATTGTACCAAAAGACATGATATTAAATAAAGCCAATAATAATGTGTGGTATAAAATCATTAAATTCAATGTTACAAACAGTCACAAATAGTTCACAGATGTTCAATGCTGTCTAGTTTTCAGTGGTTGTTTAATCTAGGCCAGTTCGTGGTGAAAATTAGGAAGTATATAATTATGTGACGTGAAGAATAGGGTCAGATTGTGAATAGATTAGGTGTTAGAGGCAACTATTTTTAGTGTAACAGTGAGGTCAAGGATAACAACGGTAAAATCGGCGTGGAAATATAAGTAAATTAAGTAATGAATTTGTTACTGTGGTTAATTTAAAAATAACTCAGGTTGGAAGATGCTTATGGAATGGGAATATTGAAATAAATCTACTTTATCCTACACTGTTTGTTCTCCATATAAAGAAGTTTATCAATCGGGATTGGTTGTACCATTAATTGTGCCTCTAAACTTCTATGTTGTGGAGCACTTGACCATGTATTGGCCAAGTTTTTTTTTCACACAACGATTAATGTTATTGATTTTAAATATTTTATAAAATGCAGCAGTGTATGGTTCGAAATATTGGTAAGATATTCAAAATTTTAATAAATTAGTCCAAGGTCAAGTTTTACGCCTTACTATGAACTAATGCCAAAAAATACACTTGAATATCGTATTTTCCAATTCATTTAAAATTTTTCATAGCTAGTATATTGTGTTTACAATAACCTGAAAACTTAGTGTATGTTTACAATGTTTACCTAATCGTAAAAATCGGTTCACACTTGGATATGTTTAAAGGGTTTTTCTAAGTCATGATTTCAATGAATGTTAAAATAAAAACTAAACCTTTATGATATAATTGATGTATAAGATTATTGACAGTTTTATCTAATTATGTCATAATGGAGTGAATATCGAGAAAGAGCTGTAGATCGTGGAACTATCTTATTGGGAACTACTGTTAATATTTTTACTGTATAATTATTAGACATTTGAATTATTGTATCCTTCCATCCCCCTAATTGTAATTATTCGTTTGGCGCATAAACTATTGTTATACGTTTTACCTTTCTCAAGTTGTTGTTCGTTAGTTATGGACCTATTACTTAGTTTCTGTACCACTTGTGGTGCACTTATGTACTTTGTTATTCATACTGGTATGCGATCAGAAAATTATTTTATTGTACGGGATGGTGGAATGGTCACACAATAGAAATCTTATCTGGTTGCTAATTTCATTTGATTGAATACTTGGTTGAGCAAAGGTTGAGGACCAATAGGTGCTAAAGTTTCGGTCATTGTTCATTGGTCCAATAAGTTCAGAACAAATTGACAAACAATCAGACTAGACAGTATTTCTGCTTCTATAATAACGTCTTGACCACATGGAGTCCGTCATAATACGGAAACCTGTTCTTTTTAAGATATAATATTGTATAACAGTATTAATGACTTCAATGTTTCTCTAAAAGCTGTACTTATTATGTAAGCTTTTTTCGTATACAAAAAACATGTACGCAACATTCAATATTTGAATTAAAACAAGTGCAAAAATAACAATTTGATCAGAGCAACGATAATAACCTGATGATATAAGACAAATTCATTTTATTCTGCCCAAATCATTGTTCTTAGTGTATTCAAGTTTGTAAATAAAACTATGCTTGTGAAATATTCGACTGTTGGCTTAACCAGCAGTATAATTGTCAGCATTTAACGTCATAGAGATGGTTTTTTCTAATAATTTTTTATTTTACAAAAATATTTTTTGAAATAGTATAATCAGGAAAAAACTTTGAAAGTGTCGCCAACAAATGGTTTATTCTTGTTTTCGGTTTAATCAAATTGTTTCATTTTTATCAATGTATTAAATAATGATGCCTGAAATTTTCGCAACTCCTCTCAGTTCACGCACATATTTGTAATTAAAAATCTATACTGTTCATATTCGTTGATTTTGTTTTGTACAGTGACTCTAAACAGTTCATTACTTTATAGTTGTGAAATTTGGTCTATGTAGACAGAAACAGTTGGTTCTTGACATTCGATCACAATATTCTCGAAGTATTGTTTCATGTATAGGAGAATTATTAATTCGATGTTTCTGAGGTTCAACTTATGATAATAGGTAGTAACGTTAAACTGGATGACAAGGCTACGAACTTTTATCGCTTTAGGTGAATGGAAATGTATAATACATGCCCTAGCTACCACATCCCTTGACATGCAGCAGAAGATCGCGTAGGGGTCAGTTGGAGAAAAGCTGTAGTAACAAATCAATACAGCACCAATCTCCGGAGACACTAATTGTTGTATTTGTAAGTGCAGACTTTACGATTGCGCTACGGGAGAAGACTGTAAGCAATAATCATTGGAGACCCTGGGTGGCGTGTTTTTAAATCAGTTGTAATCATCTAGACGGATTTGTTCTTTATCTTTTCTTTCAACTTTAAGTTTGTGTATTTTCTGATCGTCTTTATTTCTCGATTTCATTCGTTCATTTCATACTCTCAAATTCTTACTGTCAATAACATTAGTATTCTCACTCATGTGTTTTTGAATTTGTCAATTTTCACTTATGTCATCCTATAGAGTAGTTAATGTACCACACTACACTATAACTTGAAAATACATATATTATGAATTTCTTTTATTGCTGAAACAGCAACTTTCTGTCCGACTAACATGGTTATTTCCTTTCATTACAGAGTCATGAACTTAGTGCAGCAAAATCAGAATTCGCTCGTTCTGATTATCCTAAAATAGATTCACTTTTGGAAGCTATTCGATTAATTCGACCTTCTGTTTTAATTGGTAAGTAACTCAACATTCATAAGTTTATTTTCCCTTTCAACCAAGTGCCTTTTTATTATTTTAATCTAAAGTATATTTTTCATCTTTGTTTTTAAATCCCTTCTTGTTTGAAACGATTCTCCAACTAATCTCAGTTCATCATAAAAGCACTTGCACGTTTTTCTGTTGCTTCTGGTAAATTACTATTATAATCCTTTTCTTGTTAAAACCCAATGATTTCCATCTATTATTTTTCGTTTTAGACTAATGCTTTGACTAATCATACAGCTTAGTTAAAACTTTTGAAAAATACTTCAAACATTAGTTGAACCCATATTATCACTAAGATTTAAGTGGTCGTGCTTTAGCAAACCTCTTTTGAGTGATTAGTTGCACATAAGTTCATGCTTCGATGCCCCAACGAGTTCGTTGCAAGTTTTAACTAATGACTGTATATTTGATTATTTGGAATCCTTCTACAATACGAGTCTTCTTTTCAGTTCCCACACTCACCCTACTATCCGTGCATAAATAAAATTATTGAACCAAGGACTCTTATCTCAATTAGTGTCATTAGGTAGTATACGTCTCTTTCGTGTGTATTATAAGGATATTGTATAGAACACAAACTATTCCAGCTATCCTTTTTTATCATATGCTTCTCAGTAGTTAATAAAATATGATATTCGTGTTTTATAACTCTACTACTTATGAGTAGTTAGAATTTATTCTTTTGTTGGTTATCGCATACTTGGTTTGGACAGCCATTTTTAATGGATCATGTTTGTGTTTGGCTGCTTTGAGAATTGACTGTCTTTGTTGCATTTATCGCCCTAAATTTGAATCCTACCTTAATCTAGCCGTTATTTGTTGATCTTCATGTACAAAATCTCTGAGAAGCCAAAACAGTCTTTTGGCTATAACTAACCTTGGGTTATTCCAATGAACTTAACGTAGGATTTCTAACTTGAAGAAGAGATCGCATATGTATATTTATCCTTATTTTCCGATTATTTTAAAGCAAATTCTATTCAACTCATGATAACCTTCCTCATTTCTTTGCAGGTGCTTCTGGACAAAGTGGGGCATTCACGCGTGATATTCTTCGTGAACTGTCAACAATCCATAAGACTCCTATCATATTTGTCCTAAGCAATCAATCAAATCTCGGCGAATGCACTTCCCAGATGGCTTATAAGGCTACAGAAGTATGTTATGTTTTTTTACTGAGATTAATTTTGTAAATGATGTTTTTTATATCCTGCTGTTCACACAATGTTTTTGATAGATGTTAATCAATAACTTACTGGGACAGAGAATAATCTGGTATATCTTTTTATAATACCACCTTCTGAAACGACCACATAAACGTACAAAGTGGCAGTAAATTGTCCTGAAGATTTTTGAATCGAAATAAACTGACAATTTATCCATGTTAATAATAGCCAACTGTTATTTGATTGTTTCGTAAGGTGAATTTGGGGTCCTTTGGGCAAATTCTGTTTTTTTTTTAGATTAGAATTAGTATTGCCTAACATTGTGATCAAACAAACATTACCTCTGACATTTCTACATAGCCTTTTGATGAGGTAACTGACAACACGTTTGCTCCTACTAAATTTATATCAAAACTTTTGGATTGTATTAAATTTTTTTCTGTTTATCTCCATGATATGATGATTAGATTCGTTTACCGGGTGGGGATTCGTGTACTTGGCTTTGATACACACTAAGTGTAAAAGCTGTTGACACTACCCTGTTGCCCAAACCGAAGTAGGTGAAGCAGGGTTCGAACCTGCAACTCAATGTCCGAAATAGAAGCACCTTAACCATTAAAACACTTATGCACCCTTTTATCTTAATATTAGTTATCCTGTTTTGTTGTTCATAGTTTTATTCTAATTTGTACACGTAATAATACGAAATTCATTGGGGACTTTTATCAACTTCTTTTCATCTATTTCCCTTGTATATGTGTAGTGGAGATGTATATTTGTCAGTGGTTCTTCTTCAGAACCTGTTCGAACACCAGATGATCGTTTATTAAAACCGAGTCAAGGAAACAACTGCTATGTTTTTCCAAGTTTGGTTAACGCATTATCATTGGCTGTCATTCGTCCGCTAACTTATAAATTGCTATTGACTGCAGCAAAGGTAAACTACATAATTACCTGTTGTTTTTTCTTTCTAACTTGGTCTTTTTTGTAAAAAAAAATAACAAATTACTATGCATATTGAATTTATCATGATTTCAACCTAATGTAGGCGTTCGTTTTCACAAATGTCTAATAAAATGTAATGATCAGTCCTTTAAAAATCCTAGTTGTCCAAAATCTATAAAAGCATCTTGACCAAAAGATATTAACTTAATAATACTCTGCTATATTTAAAATGTTTCTAAGCTGTCTCATCGCACTTACCACGTGATATGATGGAAAGAAAAGTCAATTTTCGATTGAATTACTCATTATGAGTTTTATTCAACATTCAACATCCGTTTTGATTCAATGTGAGGATCATTCAGTGTAGTATTTGATTTGTTCTTCCAGTATGATATTTTCTTCTGTATAATATACGATATTCTTGTATTCAATTGACATGAACTATGCTCAGTAAGTGATTTGTTATAACTAAGCATGTAATTTAATCTTAATTAATAATCAAAATGGGTGTACAATCAACATATAAACGAGTGTATTTTAGACTATTTTAATTCGTCGTTGTCATAGTGTTTGGGGCTAATAAATCTTCACTTATACCAGTCTTGTGTTCCTACTTTCGCGGGAATTGCCGTGGTCCCTCGTTCCGAGTATAAGTGATCAGCGTCCTTGTTTTTCCGGCACAACACGTCTGACACCGAGGTTTCTGGATCTTAGTAGTCATTTACGAAGGCTATCAACCCATGATTTATAAACTCCAGAGAAATTTAACTCTTCATTTTTACATATTAGTGTCCCATGTACAGCACGGATATGCCACCCATGCATGTCGAGAAATCCAAATGAATGCTAATATCGCAACTCTTGCATTACAACTAAGATACCCTGTGGTATCTTCAAAAATAAAATTTTGCGATGTGTGAGAGTGGGAGTAAAACGTGATTGGTCATTGAATGTGGACAAACAACCACAACCTACTGACTATTAAATATATGATTTCTTTTCCTCTCATTGATTTCTACTCCCGACCACTGAGTGTGACCGCTTGTATTTGTGTGAAATAAAATATTATCTAGTGTTATTCTGGGTTGTGAATCCTGGATCGGATATACGGTGACTAGATTCATTACCGTAGTATACCTGAGTGAGAGGGAAATAATTTTAATCATCCTTTATATCGCTTTACCTTTAGGAAACTTCTCCAACCACATACGTCAACGGCAATAACAACTAATGATAGTAATTATTTTACATCACCAACGTAATGACGCATGGTAGTGTTGGCGCTAAAACCGGTCTTTTTTGTAACACATGAGGTGAACGTTGACAGAACCGGTACCCAATATCTCAGTAGTTAATTGGAGCCCGATGGATAAGTTTGGTCAGAGGCACATTCACTAGTGGATTTACTCAAACCCATTCATTGGATTTTTGTATCAATAAATGAATAACCTTACTTAATCCCCATAATGTGCTCGTCGATGGCCCTTAACAGCAAGATAACCTGTAGATCCATGATTTTATTTACATGTTTCTGAGCTCTCAATAGTCATATTAGCTTAGAATTAAGTATGTCTAGGGTGGTGTGGACACCTTCGCTCTAAATGTAATATCATATTCAACTTCATTCTTTGGTATGTAATCCCGTACTATTTATAAAATTGAGCTATATTCAATCATTTATAAATTTTGTATATTGTAACAAGTGTTATTTCTTTGTCGTTAAGATTCCTTACTATACAATACATTCTTATGCTTTATATTTATCCAGTCATTCAAGAGTCAGTCAGGGATTCGGTGAAGAAATCTCTTTTCATCGATTTTATTCTCAAAGCTATATGGTAACAAAACATGCTATTTTAAAGAAATAATCTACAATTTATTTCTTAATGAGCATAATTTATCGGACTTAGTAACAAAAGAACAATTACAATATGGCTACAACACATGTAATTTCTATTAAGCAAATAAAAATAGAATTCTAGTGAAGTATATAGAAGGGTGACTTAGTTGTCAAGGCATTTGAATTTTGGGCACTAAGTCCCTGGTTTAAACCCTATCCTCCCACTTCAGTATCTTGAGCCATCATACTTAAGGTGCGGCTAATACCTCATACCTAGTGAATAAGTTAATTTTTTAATCAAGCGTACTAGAAAAGTCAGTTAAATATTAATAATTATGGAAAGTGAATTACCAAGTATGGTAAGATAAATCGAAAAATAAAATGGAATCGGAAATAGAGTAAAAAATGATTTGTTTACGACAAAAGGCTAACACACTGGAACAGTTGAGAAGATGGTTGTTAGTGAAACTAGAAAACACAAATACAGGAGGATTACACAGTTTCGGGATTGAGATTACCTAAAAGAGACCATTTCTCTGAGCCGTGCACACTGCCTTCTATTATAGATCTCAATAGTTGTTTTTATACTTTTCCGCCATAAAATCATATGAGTTTTGTACCGTAATGTTTATTTTATCCTCCGAACTATAAATGTAAGAGAATCTTTTCATTGATCACATTTTGCATGAAAATTGGTATTTTGTGTGAAGTACTCTTTTTTGGTTATTAATACAGTCTACTCGGTTCGATTTCTCTAAAGAAAAAACCGTTGGATATTACAATCCGGATTCAGTTCTTTTGAATGAATATAACCACTGGTCGTCTATCTCATTAGAAAATAAATTTTATCTAGTTCTTTAAATTTCTTACTTTTTCTCAATTTTATATTCTTGTGATAACGAGCGCTTAGTTCAACCAGTGCAGTCTACTGTAAGCCTATTATTACTTATGATGTATGGCTTTTTTGATCGCTACTACTTTCAAAGAATTTAGTTCCTGTGTACAAACACTCATGCGGTTAACTAGTATAAATTTTCCTAGCCTGCGCAACAATTTCATAAATTACATGTTCCATTTTTACAGTGATTGTAAACGTCTGATATATGAAACGTACTCTAATTTTTCATCATTTTCTGCTTTTGATTATTATTCCAGAAACTATCTGAATTAGTTACAGACGATGATATACGTCAAGGTAGTATGTATCCATCAATTGCTAGATTGCCAACAATTACAAAAGAAGTCTCTTGCGCTATTATGGAACAAGCATACAAGGATAAAATTGCATTTTTTACTCCGGAACCATATAATAAGATGGAATTTATTGAATCTTACTATTATGATCATAGATATATTAATTTTACACCCGACCAATATGTTTGGTAGCCATTTTGGCGCATTTCTATTCCCTGTTTCCTCTATCTATCTTTTTGAGTAGAACTCAATTTTATCTTCAAACTGGTAAGAATGATTTCAACATATGTATTAATAGTGTTTGGCTACTACTTATCATCTGTTCATCTTAAAATTTTGATTTGAATATCGATGTTCGTTGTATTCATACATTTCTTCTGTAAAATGATTGTTCTGTTAAACGGTTTGTACCAACCGTGGAAAATGTTTTTCAGTAAATAACTATACCTTTCAACTATGGTACTTAAAAAAGTAATAAAAATTATGTCGTCAACATATACCTTAGATGTTCAAAATGTATTAATAGCTTCCACAATCCTTTTTCTGGTCTCGGCGGCTAGTGATTCTATCAGTTGCAGTGGTGCTAAATATTTTTCGTAAAGATGTTTCAGTCTATCGGCAAGGCAGATCCAGATCACTGATATTGTCCACTACAAAATGACAAGGTATTTAGGAAATATGATGTTAATGGAAGAGCAGATAGATATGGTTTATGATCAGAATGGGTTTAGATCATGATAGTGAAATGTAAACTCTTCTGAGGTTTCCTGGTAAATAATATGTAGAAATGCTACATATTTGTTTTATCCAAGATGTCTGTAGTAATCCGACACGGCGCTACAGGGTTCATCAAAACATCCTATCTATATGTGATTTTGATTTTTTTTTTCAGTACTGTGAAGATTGGAATTCTAACGTGAAGGCAGTATTACTACCAACTATTTACTTCAATGTTGGTTGTAATGAAAGAGTCAACAGTCATTCACTTAATTATAAATAGTTTGTGTCCCAAACTCACCAAGATTCGTATGTTACCAGATTGTGAGGGTGTATATTTGTTAGTTCTAGGTTAGATCTAAGACTAATCAAATAGTTTACCTGAAGCTTCTGTAAGATTGTCAAACAATGATTATATATATATATATATATATATATATATATATATATATATATATTATAACTTAAAATCCTACCAACTCGTTGCGACGTATCACCACGAAACCTCTGATCGTCAAATATTTGGCTTCATGTTCGGTCTCGTTAAATTACTGGTACCAAAATGATGATTATCGGGTTGTTTAGTTGATATTGTTGTCTTGAGAACACAGGTACCCAAAGTGTATTTTTCATGTGAAATGTGGGGGAGATTTTCCTAAGGTGAAAAGTTATTGTGCATCTCTTAAAATATCTAGTTGGTGAAGTTGTTAAAGGGGTTGCCATATAAATATAATTCAAAATCCTTTGATCGAATCGAAATCCATCTGACGCTCATGATTTCTCCATGATCAAACAATACTGTACTGAGGGACTATTTGAGTAATACGAACAGAACGGTAATAGCTATTTATAATTCATGTTTCGTTATATTGTGTAACTGCTGGTAATAACATTGTGTGTGGTGTAACTATCATATGTTACCAATCAATTTTTGGCTGGTTCGGGTGATTACTTCCATCACCCTGGCTTTACATCAGTAATCAACGTTGTGTTTTATATAGCACTATAAGCTCTCGTATCGTAGTTGAATTGCGACAAACGTTTAGCTTGTTTGACAGACGTAATTCTACTGATTCCTAACTTATGTCTGATAAAACTGACGTTCGAATAAGACTCGCAATGTCATTGGAACATAAGGTGAGGAGGTAAGACATACTGGCTAGACAAAAAGCCAAATGATAATATGAAGGATGGAATCTCCAATCTGCTTGTTTCTAGGTAGTCTACTTTTGTAACGAATAATGTTAGGGCCTAGATTTATATATTTTTCAGACGGAAACCTTTAATAGTCTTGTATATGGTTAGTTGTTTTGTAGAAAATAAGTTTCACCAAGAGAAGTTCGTGAATCAAAACACGGCGCGACTATTGAAATGTGTTTATTACCTGACTTGTGAATTATCATAAAATTAATGAGTACGAGCATTGGAGAAGTGACAAAAACATGTCATGGTGACATGTGTTACTTTGCGTTAGATATTATCTCAACAGTTCCTTTGCTCGCATGTCTTAGTAAAGCATAAGAAAATATTCAAGAAATGACTTTTCTACACAACTCCATCCCAGCTATGGACAGTAGTTCCCTCCTAGATAGGAGTGCGTAAGGATAATATGTTTGGCCTTTTCATTCTAATTCTCAATCAAAACATACGAGACTTGTTCAGAAGAGGTGTAATGCTACATTGAGAAAAAGTTCTAGCAACAAATTTCTAAAAAAGCCGAAAATTTAAAGCCATTTGCAGTAAGATTGAATTATAGTTTTTACTTACTTCAGGCATGTGGTGAAAGTGAACTAGCAATTATTTACTATCTCAAGTAAATTGTTGATCTTTTCAAGTAGTCAGTATTCGGTTGTTAGTGAAGTGTAAATGTGCGGCAAAAGCCATCCAGAAACTGGTGTATTTATAGATGTGGTTATTGACTACATAATTTCGGTATTGGTATAATCTAACCTATAGTTTTCGAGAGAAAATCTGATGTTTGGATTTATTCATGTTGTGTTAGAGGTGACACAGTCCATTTGAATGCTGAAAATAAACTAGTGTAAAATTTGAATCTGTTGATGCTTTTGTTCTAATTATTAGCACGTTGAGTAGAAATGAACACTTGTATGGTTTAAAATATAAAGTTGTGCAGAACCTCTATCCACTTAGTTACACATTCGGTAGAGCCCATTGGTATGTCTATCCGCCCATACGTGTTCTCAATCCAACACTACGGTACAATGAATAACTCATGATGTGGGCTTAAATATCATACAGACGTAAGCACTAATTAAAAGAAGAATAACATTTCTTACATACAATACCAACAGCTGCGAATCCTGAGGAAAATATAATGATCCTTTAGCGATTTTTCAATTCTGCACTCCTGCATTTTCTATCGTTTGGATGACATCTTCTAAAGAATAATTTTGAAGTTTCCGACTAAAGTACTGTTGTATCTTTGCAGCCCTCAGAGATAATAAATATAAAAAATAAATAGGAAAGATCATATCGCAAACCTAAAGTTGCTTAGCTAATCGCTTCGAAATATTTCAGTCCACAGGCTGAGTAATCCTTCCTCGTTGAGTTAATGTCATAATTTTGGTCGTCTATAATAAATCAAGACTGCTGTCTCGAAGTGAATTGAATTATTTTCAGTTGAAGCTTAGTTTTGCATATAATCAGGCGTAACCATAATTTATGAACGAACCAATCAGATTTATGATAACAGGTTTTTGATTTTAGCGCAAAATTCATCCACTCATTTGGCTAATTACTATTTCGGCATTATCACTGATGTCAGATCGTGATAAAAACCCTAGATGTAGTTCCTAACCACCAACTGTAAATCATAACTTCGATTCCTAACACTGGTTTATAACCCTCATTTAGTTTTAGTTCGTAGGTTGACGCTTTCAAAGTTATTCTATCGCTGATCAAAGGTCAACCATAAATTGTAGTTTCACCTATTTCTCTTTTCATTCAACTGTTTTAGTTGTTAAACTTTTGTTATAGTGTGATTTCTTCTTTTCTCTCATGTTATCATCAAAAAGTCTGTAGCTGATTCCTGGACAATGTGAAACAAGTGACTGTCATCTTCTGGGCTGTCAATACCCGATGGAATGCGATGAATGATAGAATAGTATCATGAAATTCGCACTGATCTAACACTCGCAGTGTGTGATAGACCCAAATGTGTCCATTTATACCGGCAAGGCTGCTTGGATGAAGAATGAATTTTTTTTGATTGAGATCTTGAACCAATTGATGTTAGATCATCACAATTGAAAACCTGGAAGCACTGGACGGCCGTTTCGTCCTATTGTGGGACTCCTCAGCAGTGCGCATCCACGGTACCGCGAGCGGGATTCGAACCCAGGGCCTTCGGTCTCGCGCGCGAACGCTTAACCAACTGGACCACTGAGCCGGCATACAATGGTGATAGTTTCTAACACCAACCAATCCACGAAATTGCGCGACCAACTTCCATTGTACTGACGTAGATAACTGTCTCTACCCGACAAGGATTAGCTCCACTGGTCACGGCTTCTCACTAGAACTCCGAGAATTCCCTCACGAAGCTAGTCACTAGTGAGCACATGTTGATTACTAGTATAAGAGTTGTGGAGATTATTAAGTTTTTGATTGAGATCTTGAACCAATTGATGTTAGATCATCACAATTGAAAACCTGGAAGCACTGTAGAATGAATTACCAGAAGTCAATGAAATGGTAATTTCTGCTAAAACTGGTGTTGCCCAGCACAACTCTTTTGGTCTCTCTTATTATGAATACGATGACACTAGCTCTATGAATGCCCAAATACATGTGGAGTCACCTAAAGGAAGTTCAAAACTGATTGACTTACTCTTGCTGAATTAAAAAGTTCATGAAAAGCGGTATGGAAGTACTAAAATCTTAAGCAAGTGAGTACTGAACAGAGTTTCTGCAGTGTTTCGTTCATTAATCAGCAGTCAGCAAACTCCTCTTAATCCTAGGAAAAAAGTAGTGTTTATTTCTAGCTAAAATATTAGCTTTACAATTATAAGCCTTGCTATCATTTCAGAAATTTGTGGTTATTAGAAGTAGTCGGATTGGTATACTGGCGAGCCTATAATTTCTGGACGAACCGATCAGGTAAAGAACAACAGGCCTCGGATTTTGGCGCGAAACTTTTTTCATCCATTTGTTTACATAGCGCTTTGTCATTTCAACTGATGTCAGTTCGTGATGAAAATACTAAATATAATTCCTAACCCTAACCATTAACTGTAAATCATAATTCTAATTCTTCACACTGCTTTATAACCCTCATTTGGTCCTAGTTATCACGTAGACACTTCTAAGGTCACTTTAACCTTGCCCGAACATCGTCAATAAATAATAGTCTCACCTGGAATTCTTATTAATCGTGCGATAAATCACAGAAGAATCATCAATTAGTACAATTAACACAAAATTCAGAGAGGATGTGATACAGATGGAAAGGTGATTTTAATGAAAAACGAGAGATCAAAAGCTTAAAAGGAAAACGTGGCCCAATATCAAAAAAAAGCATGGTATCTTAACTGTATTCAAGATACTCTTAAGATGATCTTAATAATAGATTCCCTATGTTTTACTGAGTCGATAACATCAAAAGTTTCGTGTCAAGTACTCGTTTTAAGCAGGACAGTGAGCAGAAGTTTATACTCCACTGATACCACAATCTTGAATGCTTAGTCCACCTCGATTTCGTTCGTACGGCAGTCACTGTTTATTCTAGAAAACGGTATTATTTTGCAAAGATTAGTGTGGATTCTCTTGCAGAATATAAAGTACCCTAAAGGTTTCT